TTAACCACATCTACAAAATACTTTCAAAGCCACAGCAAGATTAGTATTTGATTAAACAATGGGTCCCACAGCCTAGCAAGGTTGACGCCATCACTAACATACATCATGTGAGTCCAAGTCCTGTGCTTCCTTGAGTGGCTGGTGAAGCCATTGCCCTGCTTGCAAGGAAGAGGATCAAAAATAAGAAATTAAAATGTTTATGACTTAAATGAGGAGTCAGCATGTAGTTAAATTTGTGTCACTCACAGTATCTCTCCGTACAAGAGTGAAAACTAACCCTATTGTTGTCCCAGCAATGGGCCTTCCAACAGGGGTAATGTGAGTCCTTTTTGGATTTCTGTTAGAAGAGCCAAGAATGTGCCTTGGCCAAAGAGCTCACTCTGCCTCTGAAGGTAACTGGTTCTCAGGCTCTAACTGCATAAACTTAGATGCACTCTATTCAGGCTGCCCACTCCAGGGCCACTAAAATGGCAGGCGGTGTGATTAAAATGATGGCATGGTCCTTTTAAAACAGTATATAGCAGGAAAAGAAGAAAGAAGATTTTCCCTAAGTTATCAATTCTCCTTCCACATTCAACATATACATAAAGTCATCGAATTATTCATGCTGGATCAATCGAAACCCTTGCTTCCAGGACCTGCTGAGCCAAATTTTCCCGAACTGATTGGCCTCGCCCTCAGGGCTCCCTTTTCTCCATCAACACCCCAAATCAAGGTACATTAAACAGGCTTCCAAGATAATTGGGTGATTTGAGTCCACACTTCTAAAACTTATAAATAGCTTTAAAAAAAACCCTTATAAATATCTTTTTCCAATAGTGCAATACAAGTGCTTTGGAAGAGTAATTAAAGAATAAAGAATAAAATGCAGGAGGCCAAAAAAAAAAAAGGTCAATGAAAGTGCTCTAATTTGAGCCTGGCTTTCTGACTCTTGACCGCCTGGAGTTTTAAGTGCTGCCCCTCAATTTGCTTAAAACTATGGCGGCTTCTGCCTCTTCAACAGCACGGTGTTGGGCATTCAGGGAGAACAGAAGAGCAAAAATTCATCACTGACACCAAGACACAGACATGGAGAGTTTCTTCTTTTACATCTGTCTAATCTAGAAATTTGAGGAACATTGGCTGGGGCTGGCCAGGGTACCTCAGATATCTTCAGACCCTGCTGTGCTTTTCCTGCTCCAAAGTCACACTACTATGTTTTACTCAGAGCATCCATCCAGGCCAGCCTGCCACGAACATGTACTCAACTCTTCTCCTCAAAAGAGCCACAAAGGAATAACTGAAAACCCTTACACTGCCTCAAGATCTGCCCACCTCTGCAACATGAATATAAGGAATGCTTTTTACACCGAATGTGGGATGCACCCAGAAGCTTTTGTGAGTTCAAAGAGCCTAATCTCATTTGCTATCAGATACCATGTCTAATTCAATGTTCTAACTCATGCTTGCTGTGCAACTGGGTTCAATGAGTACATTTAACAATAAAACAAGTATAGGCCCCGTAGAGAAGCTCAATGTCCTTAAAGAATCTATCAACTAATTTAGGGATAGCATAAAGAGAATAAAGCCTCACACATATCTAAACATACACAGAAAAACAAACCAGATCCAAACACAACCCAACTCCTGGGCATTAACTATCACAAAATGGTGTGACGGTTCAGCAAGGAATCCTACAGTAATTTTTTTTTCCTCAGTGAGTTTATGGGTACATTCTAGGTATACAGTACAGTTACATTCATCATTGGTATCTTGCACCTTTACATGACAGGCAGGTCTTGGTTCTCATTTTTTTACCTGTTCATTTATTTGATAAGCATTTATTTACTGACCACCTACTGTGCCCCTACTTGTGCTAAGTGCTGAGTGGAAACTGATGCCAAGGACACACTCATTCCTTGCTGTCATGCAGCTCAGAATCTCGATGACACTGATGAACCTTCTTCATATGGAAACATAATTGACATTACTGTTTATTTCCTAGAATCCTTGGGTATCGGCATTCAATCCAGTCTCTTAATTACAGTGCTGTCCCTTGTAGAACTTTATATTCAGTCTAATCTCGTCTATTACCATGACCTTTCCAAACATCAATCCATCAGACTGCTTTAATGTGTGATTGTGTTCACACGTTACATGCTGGTCCCATGCTAAATGAAAACTGAAGCAACTTTTACATACTTCTCTAAGAAGTAAGCATTATTATGTCTCATTCTACAGGCTAGAAGATTTCAGGCTGAGACAGAAGTAAACAAGAGAATGGTCAGTGGCAGATCTTAGCTTCATAACTGGTTGTGCTAAACACAAGGGCTGTGCTCACCCACTGCAGTGCACTCACCCAGACTGCTACAGTTGGGCTATGGTTTGTGTACCTACGACAGAAGCCTGGTCATTAATGTGATGATGCTGAGAGGTAGTGACACCTTTTAAGAAATGGAGCTTAGTGCAAGGTAACTGGGTTACTGGTGATGCCGCCTTCCGAAGGATTGTGGTAGTTTCCACAAAACCCTGGTTAGTTCACATGACAGGATTGTTATAAAAGAGCAAACCTGGCACCTTCCCAGCCTCTCTGGCTTTCTTTATCATCATGTAGTCTCCCCTTCTCACACAAACCACTGCCTCTGTGGCGGTATCTCTCATGAAGTCCTCTACAGAGCCGTACTGATGACAGTACCATGCTCTTGAATTCCCAGAACTGTTAGCTTAAATACACCTTTTTTCTTTATAAAGTGTCCAATCTCAGGTTTTTGCTATAGCAATAGAAAACAGACCAATATAAAAGTTCCTGAGCAGGCAACCCTCATGTGAGAAGTTCTACATCAAATAGTACAGGCCACATCCTAGGATATTCTGTATCTTTCCTCACTCATTGACTGTATCGTCTCAGGCATGGTATGCAAAGGCTTTTAGCTTAACTCTTAGTTTTACCCTCTGTTCAAAGGTGAAATAATCCCTACCTGTTAGAATTGCTAAGGACTCTAACACATATCTGTTGCTTAAAAATGTATTAATGATAATGATGATGTTGATGAGGGCCTAAGATTAGAAGAAAGACTATCATATCTTGAACTGATATCTAATTTGCTATCTGTAGAGAGCTGCCAATGCCCACTAACAATAACTACCTGAGGTCAGACAGCCCAATGACCCAGGGTGACCTTGGCTTGAAACAATCCAGAATATTTTTGCTTTCCAGGTAAGAACTTCTTCAAAGAGATATTTCCCTTATAAATGCATTTGGAAGTAGCTTACTCAACTATGTCTCCAGAGGAAACTGCTAAAGCTCAAGCTTAAGACAGTGAGTGGGAAAGGCGACAGGAGCAGGATGCATTCTGTGTTTACCAAAAGCACGTGCTGGTGCAGAGGGGTCCCAGGAAAAGTAGGAAAGTAGGTGTTATGCCAATACAAACCCACTGGCAAATCATTTGTCACATCAAGGAAGCCACTGGGAGGAAGTAAAGGACCCAAATGCAGTTTAAAAGGTATATTAGTTCACAACATTTCAGCATAATTATTATTTATTTAGATATCCCACCAGTGCTATGACTGCATAATTCTATGTTCTGTGGAGGGCTCATGAAATGACAGGCTTAATGCAGTTTAAACAAGCCACAACAACTCCCCATGGAGCATGCCCACCCCACCTGTCCTTTCTCTAGGCCTCTGAAACTATTTCTCATGCATAACCCCTCCCAGGAGGAAGGCAGCAGAGCACTAGGGACATCCATTTACAAATGAGGCAGTGAAGGTCCACAGAGAACTGGTAACTTGTGTAAAGAACACAGGATTATTCTATCATATGGAATGATGGCAGAAGAATCCACATCTCCAACCTCAGCTCCAGGCTTAGCCCACTGTGTACTAAAAATGCTCAGGTCACTCAACTCCATAGCACTCCAAGCTCTTGGGAAACTAATTAACCATGAGAACACCATGGCTGAGAGGACTGGGCCTGGACTCCAAAAGTAAAGAAATATGACTGAAGGAGGTAAGCCTTGGGAATGGGAGGTAGATGAAAAAGGAAATGGCAAGAAAGGCAAGGAAGGTAAGAACCAAACCACACCCATGATTGTGACTGCAGGATTACTGGGCTGTTCCTGCTGCCAATCTGTCACCACCACAGAGACCAAATTTGTCTCATCCGGGCATTTTGTAAAGTGAGAAGATAGCTGCATAAGCCTCTTCCCTCAGCATATATCTGTACCTCCTACCTTAGGGTTAGCACAGAGCCTTTTTCTTTCTTGTTCTTTTCCACTCCTCTACATCCATCTAAATGGATGTTTTACAAGCAACTTTGCAACACACCCCAAACATGTGAGTGAAAGGTGGTTATCAATCTTGAGACTAGTCCTCGTCATTTTCCTTGTCACTGGGACAAAATAACTGATGCCCACAACACAAAGGAGAAGAAGTTTATTTTGGCTAACACTGCAGTCCATGTAGGCTGGCTCCAAGGCACAAACAGTATGGCAGAGGGGCATAGAGGAGGGAATCTTCTTACATCATGGCAGCCAAGAAGCAGAGAGGGATAGGGAGATACATCCTTCCAGGTCATGCCCAGGGAGACCCGCCTCTTCCAACCAGCCCCATTGCCTAACTGTACATGATTCAAATACATGAGGCTTTTGGAGGAAACTGGAGTTAAGCCATACAAGATCTCTACACTTGAAATCATATAAACCTAAACATTAGACTTTGGTTCCATGAAGAACAAAAGCAATACTCCTTATCAAGTGGCATCTACAGAAAGTTTGAGTGTTCTGTTTTGTTCTTTTATACATCTTATCTTTCACTTTTTTCTCCTTATTATTTAAAGCCATAATTATTCCTTTGAATTTAATAAATGCCAAATGATTCTCAAGTTCACAGATCACCTGCTAGATGAAATTCAGTAAGTACTCACACCCTCATTTTGTTACTTACTGGCACCAGCCCCACACCACTCACATCTGAGACTTCAGACTCAGCTCAGAGTCTGGATCCAAAGAGACCAGACGCACCTCTGTCCGAACATTAGCGTGGACTTGGTCTCAGCCTCATTGAAGACAGAAGGAGAGCAGCAAATGACAATGGTGGTTCTACAGTTCCCACCCAGAGAGTCCTGGAGGATCCGAGTCATCTTGCTGTCCCGGTACGGCACATGTGTTTTCTATTTAGAAAAAGAGAAAGTATTAGTTTTGATGGCCCGTTCAAAGGAAAAATATAGGAGCAAACCAATAAGGGAGGGAGACACTGGACTTAGAAATATGCATGAAATAAGAGTTTGTGGCCAGGTCTTTGAATCTTGCCAAAGTTTAAAATGCCCATTGGAAATCAGCATCACTATTCACACTTTATAATGGATTGGATCTCCCAGCAACAGGTGCCCACAGCCAGGATTCCTTATGTTCTTTTCCAAACAGAAAAACAAATGAATCTCTGGAGTGCGTGACAAAGAGAACACGCAAACCCAAAAGGCAACTTTTCATAATATTATTTAATAGATGGGGTCAGGGTCACTTACTGTCCCTTCTGCCAAGGCAGAGATCACATTTCCAAGAGCAGACAAAGACTTATTGATGTTTTTAGCTTCATCAAGAACAGCTCCCTCGGCACCAGTTTTGCTGACCTACCGGGAGAAGATAAAGCAGTGAGCTGCACCAAACAGGAAGACATCAAAGCAGAAAATTCAAATTCACATGAGGGCAAGGGGGAAGGTCCTGCTAGAAAGCAAGGGAAAGTAAAAGTAAGTAAGAACTACATTGATAAAACCATCCCTGGAGCACGAGACTGGGGATTTGGTCTCTCCTGTTGTCATTTTCCTCTCTATTAGGTTTTAGTGGAATAGCTAAAATGCCTCAAGTGGGAGAGCCACAGATGCTTCCCTAGGGTGCATCCATCCAGGGAAACCAAGCTCTAGCAGTACCGTCATCACTAAGCGTGGGTCGGGGAGACGAAACTCCAGTCTCTAAAAAACAGGGAGCCCAGGGGGAGGCGTTAAAGAGAAAACGCTGTCCTGAGCCGCAGTGAATGGAACAATGGGTAAAACAGAAAATAAAAGTTCCAAATCCAGGGAAAAGACAACAGGTGGCAGGAATGTTAGTCCAGACTCTCTTCCTTTCCTGCTAAGTTCCACAGCCAGCAAAAAAAAAAAAAAAAACAGGGAGCCCAGGGGGAGGCGTTAAAGAGAAAACGCTGTCCTGAGCCGCAGTGAATGGAACAATGGGTAAAACAGAAAATAAAAGTTCCAAATCCAGGGAAAAGACAACAGGTGGCAGGAATGTTAGTCCAGACTCTCTTCCTTTCCTGCTAAGTTCCACAGCCAGCAAAAAAAAAAAAAAAAAAAAAGAAAAAAAAAATCAAAAAGTAAAAAAACCTGGAGAAGCATGAAAAGTCAAGTATGCCTTACACTCTAAATTTGTCTTTTTTCTCTACTGCCAGAGGGGCCCCGCACAGTGCCTCCTCTGCTGTGTTATTACTGGTAATTTCATATTTATAGCATTTGTTCTAGGTAGAGGGCAGTTTAGAGATGCTGGAAAAAGAAAAGAAAAAAGAAACTCAACATGATTCTTTCTATGTTGCCTGCCTGGACAAACGATGTGGGGTGAACAGCTGCCCTCTGAAGAAAGAAGAGAGGAGAAGTCATTTTAAACTGCATAAAAATGGATTTCAATTACATATAAACCAGAAACCTCTGACAGCAGGGGTGAATACTGGTCCAGGGGGAGGTTTTCTCAAATAAGACAGCTTCTTATCTCCCTTGGAATTGTGTGTACAGGGACCCCTGCTTACAGACACAGAAATCATGTAGCTGATGGATCACAAATGATAACAGTCCATTCATGGTATGGTTTTTAAGATGTTTTCCTATTTGAGTATCTTAACTCCATGAAACTCACAAGGCGGGTACTATTACCTTCCTTTTTAGAGACAAGGAAAGTGAGCTTCAGAGACGTCAAACTGCCTGTGTAGGAAAGAATGGCCTTAAGAGAGATGGAAACTAAAGTCCAGAGTTCTGTTTTATGAGATCACACTGTCACATTCATGTGGACACATCTAGGGCAAACAAAACAGACAAGAACAAAATAAACTATGCAGAGGACACGACTTTAAAGCATCTCATAAAACCCATTAGCAATAACCTCCAACATGGTACAGAGACAGGCCTTCACTCTGATGTACTACTGATAAGTAGTAGTACTGAGAAAACCACTGATAAGTAGTTTCCAGGTGTATGTAGGCCCTAACTATCCATCATCTCTGAAGCCATGTGGTGGCACAGGCTTGTAATTCCAGCACTCCAGGAGGCTGAGGAAGTAGGATTTCAAGCCCAGCTTGGGCAGTGTAGCAACTCAGTGATAGCCTGTTTCAAAATAAAAAATTAAAATTAAAAAAAGAAGAAGGTGGAGAGTCTGGGATGTAGCTGAGTGCAAAGGTCCCAAGTTCAACCTCTAGTGCTTAAAAAAGGAAAAAAAAAATTTTCATCTCTATGCTCAGCAAGAACAAAGGCGCCACTCGGCTCTTCGTGGTGCAGCAGTAAAGCTGATGATCAGTCCAGAACTAAACAGTTCTGCTCCATTATGTCCATCCTAGTGAGTGTTCGACCAGTTACAGGCCCATGCCAATAAAATTTTAGATCCCCACCCAGGAAGATCCAGACGGCTCTCTGCTCGGGTTTTCAAAATGCAAATGAAAAGAAGCAGAGCAACCATAACATGGTCTGTGGGAAGTCAGGGTGTAGTCAGTAAGGATCAACTGTACTGCCAGGGAGACTGACAAGGCTACAAGGCTGGCACGGACAGCAACAGCTAGAGCATGTCAGAGGTGATGGAAAAAGGTACTGTGTACATGGGGCAACTCTGTGATGCTGCCTGAGAGGGCGTCTGCCCCAGCAAGGATGTAGCAGCAGGAGCCTCCATCGTGCTATGGAGGGACCCTGGAGGGGCAGGTGGAGATTTTGGGAAGCACATTTGACCTGGAGTGTGACAATGTACCCAGCAAGCACCTAGGGGGGCATGGTACAGGGTACATACGGCAAGAGGGTCTCAACAAAACCAGGGAACAGTCAGGGCTCGTGGCTAAAGACTGACCACAGGTCTCATACTTGAAGGTACCAAGGCCACCTCATGAGACACTGTCAGTCCAGGCTCACTGCCAGAGAACCAGGGAACACAGAGTGAGGCCCAGGTCCTAGCTTTTCTCTTGACAAACAAACCTGCAGAGGCAGGCCTGCCACTTCGGATGGCAAAGTCCTTCCCTGGCCTAGCTCACTGCGGCAATAACACAGGCATCTTTCCTGTCCTCGGAAGTTCATGCCCCACCCACATGTATACAGCTAGCTGCCTTTGCCAGGCTAAATTCAGACTAACACTTGCCTGGGGTCATCACAAGGGCCTCCCAGGAAAAATCAGAGAGAGCATCGAAGCTCTTGCTTATGATGCAAACAGGAGACTTCAGGACAGAAAAGAGTGGGAAGACAAAGGTTAAATTTAATTACATCTTGGCTCAACATTAGAAACCTTTAAAGTCCTTTAAAACCAGGGAACAGAAAAGCACAAAAATTATAACATTGCACAGTGAACCAAGGAACAGGGGGAAATTACAGATAATACAAATAAAGAACCAATTACCTTTTCGCTCCCAGCCAAATCAACTAAATAAAGCTTCCCACTGAGTTTTTTTTCAGTTTCTACATTCTCTTGTTTAATATTAATCAGGAAGATGCTATGACTTCTAGAGCTGTGTTCATTCATGTCTGAAAAAGAAAATAGTTTACTGCTTTCCAAAGAACACATAAAAACAAGTAGCTAGCCTCTGGTCTTAAAGGCACAACACATCATTCCAGAAACCTTCATTTCTTTGAAGTCCAACAATTTTTAAAATTGTCTGAGGCGCCTGGAGTGCACACCTATAAACCCAGTACTTCAGAGACTGAGACAGGAGGATGACCTTGAATTTGAGGCATCTTAGTTTCCACAGTGAATTCAAAGCCAACCTGAACTATATACAGTGAGACCCAAGAACTTTAAAATATATAAATAAAATAAAATAAAATAATCTGAGACTACTCTTTCTTCTTTAAAAAAATGTTCACTCTAGAAATGAAAGATTTAAAATGCCTTCAACTAGCAAAGAAATTAATCTAAAATTCTTGGTTATCAATTTGAGATAAGAGATGCTACAGCTCCCCGTAAAGCTGCTGTCCTCCAGTGTCCCCTGCTAGCCCAGCTCCCTGAGAAGCCCATGGCTCCCCCACCTCACATTAAATCCCTCAGACTCTATCGCCTGATTAGTACCTGATGTTGCTATCTTAGTCATGTGTGTAAGCCTGGTCTTATCAGGAATATCATAAGCTTTTAAAGGAAGGATTAAGGCTTTCTTACGGAAGGATTAAAACGTACACTTCTATCACACATGCTAAGTGCGCAGAGGTCTCACCGATTAAATATGCTTCAATCGGATGAGGCCCTAGAAAAAAAAATGCTTTCCCACCCTGGTTTTGTCCACCAAACAGATAAAGACCACAGCAACTGTCCCCGATCATTTCTCAAAACCATTTTACCAGATTGTATGGTTTTTTTTTAACTCTATAAATACTTCATTTTTTAAAAATAGCTATAACCGGGCCAAGGATCTAGCTCAGTGGTGCCACACCTGCCTCACACGTGCAAGGTCCTGAGTTTAATCCCCAGTACAGGGAGAAAAAGTTAAAATTAATAAATGAATTTAGAAAATTACAGTAAACAAAAGCAACATGGCAAAGTCAGTTGTGTTTCTATACATATACAATGAGCAATCTGAAAAAGAAATTAAGGAAAGAACTCTGTTTAGAATAGCAAAAATAGGATAAAACACTTAAAAATAAACTTAATCAAGGTAATGAAGGTTACCATGAAAGCTAAAATTTTTGATAAGAAGATATTTCAAATGAGATAACAATATAACCTATGTTCATTAATATTTATTTATTTATTTATTTGGTACCGGGGATCAAACTCAGGACCATGTGCTTGCAAGGCAGGCGTGGAACCACTGAGCTAAATCCCTGGCCCTAATTTTTAAAATTTATATTGCTAAGATGTCAATATTACCCAAAAGAATCTATAGATTCAATGCAAACTTTATCAAACTCTCAATGATATTCTTTACAAAAGCAGAAAAATGCACCATAAAATTGAAACAATCTCAAGGAACTCTGAATAACCAAAATAATACTGAAATATAAGAACAATATTTGGAGGTCTCAAAATAACTGATTTCAAAACTTACTACAAAATTATAGTAACCAAAATTATGTGAAATTATTTGATATTTGACAAGAAGGCCAAAAATATATATGGGAAGAAAGATAATAAATGGTGTTGGGGGAACTGGCTATCTACATGCAGAAGATTGAATCTAGACCAATATATCTTACCATGTGCCAAACTGAAAGGAAAACGGATCAAAGAATTAAATGTTAAAACAGAAACACTCACCCTACTGGAAGATAAAACAGGTAAAACTCGGGAAGTCATAGGTATTGATAAAAAAACTTTATGAATAGAACCCCACCAAATATCAAGGTCATAGCATATCAAATTAAAAAGCTTCTGCACAGAAAGACAAACAACTATTATTAAAAAAAAAACACAAGCTACAAAATGGAAAAAAAAAATTGGCCAGCTATCCCTTAGACAGAGGACTCCTATCTAGAATATATAAAGAACTTAAAAATATTAGGCCTTGAAAATAGAAGACTCAAGGAAAGCATGGGCAAGTGAAATAAAGACACTTCACAGAAGAACCAATGGCTAATGAACACCTGAAGCAATGTTTAATATCACTCGTCATTAGGTAAATGCAAATTAAAACAGTACTGAGATTCCACCTAACTGCAGAAAGAATAGCCATCATCAAAAACTTAAATAATAATACATACTGGCAAGGCTGTGGAAACAGGAACCCTTCTTCACTGTTGGTGGGAATTTATACTAGTACAACCACTATGGAAATCAGTATGGAGAATCCTCACAAAGCTAAAACTACAAATTCCATTTGACCCAGCTATTCCTCTTCTAGATAACTTCCCCCAAAGAGTATTACATACTATAGTAATATATGTATGCCCATGCCTACAGCAGAATAATTCATAATAACAATTAAATCTTGGAAGTAGCCTAGATGTCCATCAACAGATGAATGGATAAAGAAAATATGGTATTTACACACAGTGGAGCACTACTGCCATAAAGAAATAAACCTGAAACATTTGTAGGAAAACGGATGCACCTTGAGACCAGAATGTTACGTGAAATAAATCAGACACATGGGTTTAAATATTATATGAGAAACCCAAAATATAATTAATGATAAGAATAAAAGATAACTGAAAGAAATGAGAATAGATCTTTCTCAAATGGGAAGGGGCTCAAGAGATGGGAGAGAGGTTTAAAAAAAAGCTGTGTCATATACATGTACCAACCCCACACAAAGAATGTAAATGAAAGGAAAATGCTTTAAAAAGTTTCAGTTGGGAAGATGAAAAGTTTTGGTAGCTATGGTGGTGATGTTACAATGTGAATATACTTCATAGCATAGCGCTATGCACTCTAACATAGTTAAAATAATAAATTATATTTTATGCACACTTTACCGCAATAAAACAAAACTTGGCAGATGATAAGAACAATAGTAATGTTCTGAAACACCAGTTTTGAACTGGGGGCTCTTATACCTTGTATCTAGATGTCTCCCCAAAGCCTCATGTACTCATAGATGTGGCTTTTCAGAGCTGGTTGGATCTAGGGGCTGTGTACTAGGATTAAAGATGTGTGCTACTAAATTATTCCACTTAAAGCATAGTCCCGGGTGTGGATAATGAGAAGGCCCACAATGGGTGTGGGTGGCACCACCCAAAAGGCTTGTAGCCTGGATGGGATAAAAGGACCAGGGAAGTCTGCTTCTGCTGCTGCTTGCTGCCTTCTGCCTGCCATGCCAAGAAGTGTTTCTCCTCTGCTGTGACCCTCTGCCATGCCCCTCTGCCATGCCACTCAGCCGTGGAGCCAGCTGACTATGGATTGAACTCTATAAACTGGGAGGTGAATTAAACCTTTCCTCCTTTAATTTGGAGATGACAGGTACGTTGTCTCAGCAATGAGAAAAGTAACTAAGAGGGGCCTAAAGGTCTGTCAGATATGGCATGAATAATTCATGACTAACAATAGCTTAAGAAACACAGTCAATAACTTCTTTAGTGTGTGTGCACTTCAAGCAGGAGAGAAGGAAGTGGAGTTTCACCTACACTGTTTCCAAGTCTAGCCTCAAATGTTAACTTTACCATGTATATGAATAGCATATGGCATGTTGTTGGGTCAAGAAAAGGTTAAGAACCACAATTCTGGGTCACAGAATCAGAATCCTGAGCGAAAGAGACTTAACCCAAAACAGTCACCCAACCAATGACTGAACCTCCTGTACCGCATGAGAGTGAGCTCATTCACTACCTGTCCAAGTAGCAGGCCTCTCCCAGGGCAGCTATGAGGATGAGCGTTCTCTGTGTGTTAGGTCAAACCTAGCCCTTCACGCACTGAGGAAGAAAACAAGCTGCCTTCCTCTCAGTGTCAGCACCCCGGAACATGCTAAAATATACTAAAGAGCTGGGGATTTAACTCAGAGGTGCTGCTGCCTGCTTCGCAAGTGCAAGGTCCGGAGTTCAATCCCCAGTACCAAAAAAATAAAATACACTGAAGATTGTTTTTTTTTTTTCTCCTTGAAGCTAGAAATCCTTACTTCCCTCCACTTCGCATGCTCTCTCTATTTGTCCACATGCCTTGGAATAAGATGAGAGCCTCAATCTTTTCATGGAACCTCTGCCACTCTGGACACACTCTCGACACGTGATGCACACGTTGAGGCAAGAAGTGCCGAGCAAATGAGCTGCTCTAAATGCATCCACCACCAGCATGGCATTAGTGGCTTGGGAAGTTCATACCTTGCCTTCTGACTTCCTCTTTGACTTTCTTTTCTCTTTATACAGAAGGCAGAAGTCTCACAAGGTATCTTTCCTCACATGCATGACTGGCAAGTAAAACTTGTTGTGTTGGGTTTTTTGGTAAATAAAACATGAATATTAATATGGTTAAAACAAATAAACCTAGAGAGAAGCTTCCTCCTTTTCTTCTTTATTGGCTGGCTGTTTTCTTTAATGTTTAGGCTGAGGCCACTGTCAGGTTCAATGCGTCTCATTCAGCATCCCAAGACCTCAGAGTACTCCAGAGAGCTGAAGTCATTTTTCCCACAAGCCCCCCGCCCCCCACCACACCCCACTGCACATGCCCTGGAGTGTCCAGGCCACTGTCTCCAATCAACTGCGTTTGCACACTTTACTGCATTTACAGCTCATCAGCCACCCCTCCTGTTGGGAGACAGACATCTACATCCTAAGTCACAGAGGAGAAAATATTATCACCACACTTACTCGTTACAGCCACATGTCGGTTTGCTTTGCCTTCGTCTATAACATCCATGACCTCCTCCGGGCTTGACACAAACCGCTCTGTGCACCCCTACATGAGAGGCAGAATCAGGTCAGGTGGGCCATCAAATGAATTGAAAAGCAACAATATTTTGAAGCAGCTCAACATTTTCCCAATTCTTCCTAGAGACACCAATAAATAAGGCTGCAAAGTTGATCCAACAGCGCCTCATCTTTGCCTGAGGCTTGAATTCTACATTAAAGAGAAACCTAAGCAAAACCTAGGAAGCCAGAAGTAAACCGTAAAGGAAATGCTGGATTTTCCTGGGATTTTGAGTACATATTCATAATCAAACAAAATATTTGCTGGAAACAGAAAAGAAAAGAAAATCAAGGAGAAAAGAAGAAACGAATGAAGTACTGCTTTGCCGTTTTTATGAATTTACCATTGCACTCATCAATAGATACTTTGAAGTTCTAGATAGAACACCATGACAGACTTCCCTGAACTACAAACCATAAACTACTGTGCTTCAATCCAAAGTCTCTTCAAATGTAAATAATATTTAATAATATTTAAATAATAATTATTTACATCAAAGGGGTAGGGTATGTGATTCAGTGCCTAGCACTAAAAAAGATGATAATAACTTATATAAAGATACAGTTGAAGAAATCAAATATTCCTTTTTTTGGACAGATAAATATTAAATATAAGAAACACAATTAAGTGCCTATATGCCATTTATAGATACTATCGTGGGCATCTTACATAATACTGTGATTACTTTGACAGTGACAAGAGAGAAATCATTCATATCATCAATCAAGTCTCCCTCCTACCTTTACGTATGGGACTCTATTTTTATCTTCATGAACAGCCAAGTTGGTCTTGGATACTACAAGGATAATGATGACATGAAAAATAGAAAAAAGTTAAAAACCCTGTATTGGAAGAAAAATAGAAATTGTTACAGAAGATAAGTAAATATAATGTTTTTGCATTTTGAAAATTTAAGCTACGGCTGAGACTGAGCATACAGCCTGAAGGCAAGCAAATATCTCTATAAATTTTCAATTTCTCAAGCAGAAATACTCCAAATCATTTTGACCTGCCTGGACTTTTATTTACAGAGCAAATAAAGATAAGCATTCAGGTTACTCACCATCAAGTAAGTCCCTTATTTTGTCCAAATAGATCTCAAAATAGGAAACCTGATTAAAGATAAATTGAAATTGGAATAGGAATGACACCTACAATTCAAAAACATCAATAATTTGAAAACATACAATGGCTTCATCAAGCATATCTAAGACAGTAAGAAGAATGGAGGTCAAGAGAGGATCCAGAGTCCTGAGCACAAAGCTGCAGTCAGCTCACCTGTGCTCCTCCTGCGTCCTGCTTGCTCAGCCTGCTCTGGGCATCACTACTGAGTGTGGACCATTGTCCACTCATGTCACAGCTCCCCAAGTCCCCATTCACATGGTATTTAACGCATGAGTTAGACAACCACCTACAGGAGGACGCTTGGTTTTACCATAGATGGGCACCAAGCAAACTTCTATGTATGACAACAGCCAGAATAGAACAACACCCTCTGCGAGTAATTCTGAAACATGAATGGCCCTCACATACTGAGTGACGCTGATAGCTTATCCGTACCAGGGGAGAGCACACTCCACAGGAAGGAAGAGCGACAGGATAATGCAGTGTACTTGCAACTACAAGAGTTCACAAAGATAACTGGGTGGGCCTGGGGATTTAGCTCAGTGGTTCCACCACCTGCCTCACAAGCACAAGGTCCTGAGTTTGATCCACATACCAAAAAAAAAACTGGGAGAGAGAGAGCCAGAGAAGGTGACCAGGTTTTGAATCTAGGGAGAATTTGAACAAAATGTGATCTAATAAAAGATGATTAGATTGCGAAAGGAAAAGGAAGCCTTCCAGTTATTTCTTCTCAAACCTCAGCCCTAGCATCAATTACATCAACATTATCTACAGAATTTGTTTAACTTGGAGAGTCCTGAAGCCAACTGTAGTTTTAGTAGGTCAGAATCTCTGAGACTAGGACTTAGGAATCAGCTTCTAAAGTCCTCTGGTGACTCTTACACTGGCTGATGACTAAGGACTATTTTACCTGAGCATGTGCTCAAGGGGATTTAATTCACACATAAATAAGACCCTACAATCTAAATTTTCCCATCTGTCTGATGAAGCTATTAGACTTTTATGATGTCAAAAATTCCCTCTAGGATTCTGTACTCAGCTTACATCTGCCAGATAAACTTTTTTCTCCTCCCTGTTCATAAGTGTTTCTGAAATATAAACAAAGGCACAGACAAAAAGGAGAGTACAGTCATGTATCACATAAGGATGTTTTGGTCAGTAGTGGACCGTGTACAGGATAGTGGTCCCTTAAAGAGTATATTGCCTAGTGACATCATAGCTTTCTTAGTTTAAGTACACTCTGTGATGTGTGAAAAATGACCACCTAAATGACACATCTCTCAGAATATACCCTGTTATTAAGCTACCTATGACTGTAGCTATAAAGTTGCAAAGCTGAGCTGTAACGACACTGGTGAAACTATTCCATATACAATTTTAGGACCAGGCTGCCTCTAATTGGGGGGACACGAAGACTCCTTAAATTGGCTCTAATCCCTACCCTGACTCCGTTCTGGCCCATTATCTTGTGGTTGCCTCAGTCTGGAACCATCTAACTTCTCAGTTCCTGGGAGACTGGTGGTCTTGGCTTTGAACCTTCAAATCTGTAGCTGGGCATCTTCTTCTGGTTGCCTGTTTCCCTAACTAGATCGCTTATTTGAACATTTCTCTAAATGTCCTGTCACTCTGTCTCTCGTGCACATATGTACCTGACATTCGAATGATTCACTGTCTCAGTGTACTCTACTTCCAGTTTTGGGTTGCTCAGTTTTGCTTCATGCTTGCGGTGCTGGAGATGGAACCCAGGACCTAGTACATGCTAGGCAAGCACTCTGCCACTGAGTGCACCCCAGCCCCTCTGTGCTCTCCATAATCTCTCAAGCTGCTACACTCCTCATTTCCCGAATCTTCCATGGGCCTGTTTGGTCTCTAATCCTATAGGACCTCTAACCTGGCCCTTCCTGCAGCCAACTCTGCCCTGATGCTAACCTGTTCATTGTTTCACAATTGTCTAATCTTCATTAAGATCTTTCTGTTACCTTGAGATCTTAAAACATGTGGCTTTATATCCATAGATTACTTAGAAAATTAATTACAACTAAAAAGCAATTGTAAAGAAGATACTGGCAAACTTAGCAATTTGAATCCTGTTCACAATTACTATAAGAAGCAGAATTCAGGTTTATTAATTTCTGTTTTTGGTCAGAGATCTAATTTAGTTTTTCTGTCACTTCAAATACTGTGTGAGACCAGGAAGAAGGAAATAAATAGGCATGGTTTGACATTAAGCAAGAACATATTCAGAAATAACATTTAAAGCCTCTGTGGGGTTCATTTCGAGGGGCAGATTTTCAGTACTGCCTTAATCGGCCCTCATTCTTTGGATTTAAGCTGTCACTACTCTGTTCAAAATGCACAGTAGTCAGCAGCTAACTTCTCCACATATAACTATTATTTATGAAACATGGAAGCATTAACTACAAATGCAAAACAGAAACCTGGACTACAAAATTCAGCCTTAGAGACTCAGAAAATGTTTTTGCTCTCTTCCTCCCACTTCATAGTAGGACTGTTTTTATAATAAGATTCTAACACAAGACACTATTTCTAGGGTAGTAATTGGTTTAACATCTTATTCCAGGATTATCACATAAGAACTCTGCAGTAGTTTAAGGTATTTAAATTTGAGCAGTCTTAAAGGAGCACTAAGCTTCTAAATCCTGATACCATCAAAGCAACAAGCTGCTGTATCCTTAGATATAAAGGAGCCTGGCAAGGAGAAGCAGGCTTTAGCCAACAGAGGAAACTGCAAGGAAAAGTCATTTGCTGGATACAACTTGTAATTGGGCAAACAGTTGTTGCCTTCATTTTACTGTAATTTAGGAAAAGTACATAGCAAAAATAAGGAGGAAATTTAGTCTAAGGAAGAAGTACACATGCGGAGCTGGTCCACTCTGGGTCTGTTCATAACTTAGGCCATCAAATGGTCTACCTTTGAACTTGAGTTTTCTCATCTCTAATCTACTGAGTCTTGTGTGCTAAGGCTCCAGCTTTTCGGGGAAATTTGCTCAGTTCTGAGGCTTCCTAGAAAGGCTCCTTCTCTTCCTGTCCTCTAGTGACAGCGAGGCAGACTCGGACACCATGTGCATCCTGGACAGAGAGAACCAAGGTAAGGGGGCACCTACCCTAGATGGGTCACTGAGCCCTTCTGAGGAGAATGTGGGATGGGAAATAAGGGAATGTGAAACAGGAGCTGCCAAGTTGCCCATTCCCAACCAAATGAGAGAAAGGTGGTTGGGAATAAGACAGAGAAAAAAAGAAAGAGAAGCCCATAATGAATATCAAGTTTCTATTAGGGGTTGATGAAAATGTTTCTTTTCTTTTCTTTTTCTTCCTTCCTTCTTTCCTTCTTTCTTTTTCTTTCTTTTTCTTTCTTTCTTTCTTTCTTTCTTTCTTTCTCTTTCTTTCTTTCTTTCTTTTGAAACAGAGTCTTACTATGTAGTTGAGACTGACCTGAAACTTACTATGTAGCCCAGGCTGGTCTGAAACTCACAGAAAATGTTCTGAAATTAGGTAAGAACAATTCTGTACAATTTTGGGAATATACTGAAGCCCAATGAATTGTACATTTTAAAAGGCTGACTTTTATGATGTGTAATTTATATCTCAATTTTTAAGTTAAAAAAAGGAAAAGCTTGGATTTATTTCCTCCTTCCACAGCCTCTGCTCCATGCGTATTAGATTCTGTATCTTACAACAATCTCCTCTCTTTGCTTAGACAAATGGCCTTCACTAGTTTTCACACAAAAAGTTCTAATGAATATACATCAAATACCTTTTTGTATGATTTAACAGTTATAAAAATACAGTGGAAATTTTTCTTTCAAGTCAAATTTAAACTAGTACAGAGGTTTTAGTTAAAACAAAAACAAAGAGGAGAAAAATGGTGAGAATGCCCTTCCCAATACTTGCCAGAATGTGTTCCTCAAAACACTAACCTATCACATTCCAAGGGGGATAAATGTGTGTCCTGGTACAAAGAAATGTAGTACAGTATATGTCTCCCTTGCCCAGATGAATTTTATTAAATTAATTTATCTTGTTATCAATTTAACATTTTTTTCGTCAAATTATTTTCCCAGGTTATTTGCTCAATTGCCCTTTTCTCTGGTAGCCTATCTATTAATAAATAATACAAGGGCTGGGGCTGGGGATTTAGCTCAGTGGTTCCACCGCCTGCCTTGCAAGCACAGGGACCAGAGTTCAATCCCTGGTACAAAAAAAAAAAAAAAAAACAAGGGCTTCTGTTCCATAGAACTCACTTTGTCCTAACCCAAATACAGACATAGTCTAGTCCTAGCTACAGATATCCATAGGGTGAAAGGTAGAATTCAGATACCAAAATGATTCCATTCCAAAGAGGGCCTTCACTTTCATTAGCTCACTATTTCAAGCAAACTATCCACATGGCTAAGTATTGGCTGAAATTTTTAAATAAACAGGACTCTGCTTACCATAGGAATGCCATTTGAATTAGATAAAACTATCTTTTACATGTACCTAAAAGGAAGAAGACTGAGCAAGATACAAGGCCTAGTGTCTTGGTACTCATGGGATAGACTCACCTTGATGTGAAACTCCAAGTTCTCATCCATGGAATAAATATGGTCAAAGATATCATGCGCAATCCTTGGGATGATCCCCATGAGCTGAGGATCATGCAGCTTCCCCTAGTGAGTGAAAAATACAACATAGACAGTTAGAGAGATGAGGAGAGAGAGAGAGAGAGAGAGAGACCATCCCTGGGCTTGTTAACCAGAATTTTATGGAATAAGGAATTCCCCTAGGATCTGCCTGATGAGCCAACAGACCAAAGGCTGCTGAGCTATCTCAATGTGCCCATCTTTTTACCCAGCAGAAGGCTGTTCTATTAGATCCTAAGGCCGGACAATATCTCTACTGCTGCCACAAATCAGTGTGTAAGTGGGTAGTGTGTGGGTGAGAAGGAGGAAGGGGCGCTAGAGAAAAAATGAGAAACTATAGACTCTATTTGTGAATATTTTGAAATGAGTAAGACCTATAAATCTAGGTAAATGAAGCTCCATGAATGAAAGAGAAGTGTAGACTTAATTTTATTAATGTCATCGCTGCTCAAAAATTTCTAAAGGTCTTATTTTCCTAGTGGTTTCAGTATCATTTTACAAACCATTCAAGAAGATCCTTTTCATCAGTTTGTTTTTAACATCTGTAATTCCAAGCCTGAATTATGACAAATTATTTTTGGCTGTTTCTAATACTTAAGTCCATTTTTTAGGATAGTCTCACACTTTTTTACACTTCTATTCATTTTACCTAAGGAGTGAACTTGCCACTCCCCGCCTCTGAAGACTGTCAGGAGGTGCCACAGGGGCGCAGGAGGTAGCCGATCAGTATCACCTTGCTCAGCATGAGCAATCAATTCCCAGCACCACCACAAGGGTCCTCCAGCACCACACGGGATCTGACCGCAATGCCCCAAGAAGGGTTCCCGAAGTGTTAAAGCTCAGGAATTTAAGTACAGCCCTAGGTGAGCAGCCTCCGGACAGCCTTCCACAGTCACAGTTCTCTCTGGTGTCAAACGGCCATCAGGGCACACACAGTCTGCAAGTCCGCAGTGCTCATGGCAAACATACACCCAGAGAATTTTTTAAACTTTGGTAAAGTTATAAAACCCTAGAAACAAACGGAATGGAAAGAAAAACACAAAATCCAGTTATCCCTTCAGTCTTCCAGGGTACTCAACATTGCCCTAACAATTCTGACCCATATCCTTGTTCCCATCTGCCCAGTGCTTGCAAGAACGGCTCTTGCTTCCTCAATGAACACTGTTTTTCTTCCGGGCTTTACCACACAATACCTCTCTGAAAGAGACTTGCACATCACAGTGTGAATTAGCAAAAGCAAGAACCCATGTGAACCCTGGCACTAACAACAGGTCACAAAGCACCTAGCCATACAGGTCTTCCTTTGTACACTTGATTCCTGACTTCCATTCTGTTAAAAGTATCAAAGAGCCAGGCCTGGTGGCGCACGCCTGTAATCCCAGCACTCAGGAGACTGAGGCAGAAGGATCACTGAGAGTTCGAGATCAGCATGGGCTACACAGTGAATTCCAGAGCAGTCTGAACTACATAGTGAGACCCTGTCTCAAAAACTAAAAAAAAAAATTGGATTTAAATATGTCTGGCCTCTGGCAAAACTCTCTCACCTGGGCAAAAGGGAAATTTTCTGGAATGCCTTTTAATATAGAAAAGGGTAAGTCATTCAGGGTGTTTACACTGTCTTTTAGTTTAACTACATACTCCCTTAAGAGAGGGGTGGCTGGGGTATATGTATTTCTGCCTACCACTTAGGAGACTTAGGACTATCTTGCACAGAATTAGTGCAGAGTTTAAGTTAAATAAGATAAAATAAGTGTTTGGTGACATAGGAAGGTCTCAATAAATGTTAGCTTGTACACTCAGTTCACAGCAGGTATAACCTGCAAAATCTAAAAACAAACTTTTGCCCCAGATTATTACTACACATTTCAGGAAAACAACACGTAATGTTTGAGGGCCAGGGATTTAGCTCAGTGGTTCCAGCACCTGCCTCACAAGCACAAGGACCTGAGTTCGATCCCTGGTACAAAAAACTAAACAAAAAACCCACACATAATGTTTAAGAGCAAGAGCCTCAAATCTCAGTGACTTTTAAATCCCACAGGCAGTCATACACATGCAACCAATCAGACCATAGCCCATGTGCTCTAGAATGTGTTAACTGGCAGAAATGATCGCTGTTGGTAAAAACATCTTCTCAACAAAAAGAAAACAATTCCTCTTCCAGTCAAATGTCACAACTCCACTCATCCAATCAAAAGATCTCCCTACCCAAACTTCCAGAGTCCTTGAATAATTCATGACAATCCTTTAGCTTCTCCTCAGTGGCCCACAACCAGAAAAGAACGATTGGTATTCCAAAAATCCTCTATAATTGACTTAAATTTGTTTCCCCAGGCACTTTCTCCTTCAACACATTCATCATCCAATTGATTCCTGGCTTAAAATGAGCCCAGCAAAAGTGTGTGTGTGTGTGTGTGTGTGTGTGTGTGTCTCATTGTGCAAGGCATGTATGCGGCGTGCTGTGTGGTGTATGTGTTGTACATCTGTGTGTAGTATATATGGGATATCTGTGTATGTGTGATGTGTGATGAATGCAGAGTGCCTGTGATGTGTGTGTGCATGTGTGCACCTGTGTGCGTGAAAGTCTTCACTGCTTCTGTGTACATGCACCGACACCATCCTCATAGGACATAAACAGTAGTGAAGAAGTTGGAAGCCACAAAACTTCAGGGCACAGAAAGGCCTTTCCAGCTGGGATAATAAGGTAGCTTCCTTGGAAGACACTTAGTCTTGAGGGATAAGTAAGGTTGAGGTTGAGTAGAAAAGATGTTGACAACAAAGGCAAGCTGGGAATAAAGTAGGGAGACTGAGAAGGAACAGTGCTCATTTAGAGAACAGTCATCTGGCTAGAAGATCAGGGAAGAACTGGAATAGCAAGCAATGAACTGCTTTGTCTTCTTATACTTCTCTGGGAGCAAGCAGGAGAAACATTTTTATAACCACCCCCTGTACAGTTATCTTCAAAACTTTTCCCTCTAAATACGACCTTCTAGGGTAGGTTCAGAAGAAGGCTAGTCACTGGCCACCAAACAAGACTGTCTTTGTTCAGCATCAGTGGCCTCCCTGGCCTCCTAAGTAGGGTGGTTTCCTGAAACATTTAAGATAGCAGAGCAGGCAGCGGTCAGCACCTGAGCACCATGCACTCCATCTGGTTTTGTTACTCAGTGGCAGGAAGCCTGCACCACTGAGATGGTGTCCAGGGGCTCCTCTGAGCAGAAAGGAAAATACAAGGTGTCTCCAGCCATCTCCATCAGTGTGCTCAAGGCACAAAGTGAGGCATGGGGCTAAGAGATGCGCTTCTCAGCATCAGACCCTGAAGAGAGGGACAGGTCCCCGTTCCCAGCTGCGGCCAGCACCCTACATAACCTAGGAATTTTGTGGACAAGTCCACAGCCCTTGCCTGGTGCAACCTGCCATGCTCAGCACTAACACTGTCCAGCGCATCACATTTTTACTGAAAAGCCACCTTAAATGCTCCGTCATGAGAAGCTAATCTTTCCAATTTTATGTAGGCTTATCTGCTTGTTCCCCTCAATAGAAGGTAATGGAATCACCACTGGATATCAGGCCCAAAATGGAGGGATTAAAATGAAAAACAGCTTTAAAATGTGACAGCTCTGTCCACTTGGGGAGTTAACATCCCCTTCTGAAAGTCTTTGATGGATCACAATGTGTAATTCTGCATACATAAAATCCCCCTTTTAGAGGATGCAAACCCTGCAGAGGATTTTTAACTTAATTGCATTCCCAGGTCCTGGATTTCTTGGTCTCCTGCAGTCTCTCTACAACTTCAGCTTGGGGCTCCTCTTTTGCTCTGCTTCCCTCTAAAAACACCCCCTACCTTTCTCCAATCTATAATTACCCTACAAAGAACAGGATTCAGTAAGGGGGCTGGTGGCAGTAGGAAGGTTTGGGGGTTGGTGTGTGTGAATGTGTGTGTGTGCATGTATGTGTGTATGTGAAAGTCTTCACAGCCACACAAACCTTTTCCAACTGCAGGCATAAGAGTGTGATCTTCAAAAGACACAATATAGAGGACCAGGGATTTAGCTCAGTGGTGCTGCTGCCTGCCTTGAAAGCACAAGGACCCGAGTTCGATCCCCAGTACCAAAAAAAAAAAAAAAAAAAGATAAAAACATAGACACAATAAAGAAAAGCAACTCATTATAGCAACCATTTGAAACTAACACAGATGCACAGATAACAGAATTTAACCACCTGCAGGTGAGACCTGTATAGAATCCAGTTCCCTTCAAGTCCCCAGGAACCCTCTCTCTAGGTGAGTGAGTAGAGTTCACACCACCAGGTGCTGAGGGATAAGAGCATTTAATTTAGCAAGATGTCTCCCATGTTAGTATTAAATGGCTGGCATAGTTTCTTCCCATAACCCTACACCTACCCATTCACCCCCTAAAAATATTGCTCTGGGGAGAATTTTCTCTCTTAATGTCTTATAATTTAAATTTCTGACATTTAGCAAATACCTTATATTTCCCAAGGATGAATTAATCCCAAAGTTTGTAAGCATTCCCAGAGTTTGGGAGATTTTTAAATATTGAGGATTTGTTTTCTCTTTTGTACTGTACACAGTTTGGTAATTTCTCCAGAATCTCAGAACTAATGGATTCCCTCAAAAGATGCCACCTCCTTCCTCCCCTCTTTAAGACTCTGGAAAAAGTATCCTGTCCAGAGCTACAGGAAATGTGTAACTGCAACTTTTCTAGAATCTAAAGGTCAAGAGTCTGGGGCCCAGAAAGACAGAGGAAGACAGAGGGCCAAGGTGGACATGGAGATGGCTCAGCCCGTGTTTCCCAGATGTACTGCCAAGGAGTATAAGATGTAGACACATAGGTCTCGAGCTGATGTCAGGAATGGTCCTGCTTGGAAGAGATGGCAAATAAACCTAGTTTCTTTAATCCACACAGTTTCTTCTGAATCACTTTGTCTTCAGCAAAACCAGTGAAAGAGAGTCAGCACCACAGAAATGAGATTCCCCCATTGTCACACCCCACGCTGGAAATCAGTGTGCACAGAACATCAGAGCCCTAAGGATTTTAGCCTCATGCCTTTAAAATCACCTCTTCAATAGGAATGATTCATAAGCGAAACCTATTCTGCAGCAGCTATCTCAGTGCAATTCCCAGGAGTGATTCGTAAATGAAAAAAACTTTAGCTTGAAGGATTAAGGATTCATCTTACCCTGCAATTTGTAAGCTCAATTCCCCAAATTCGCCATGCAGTTTCTTATAATCACCACTCTCTACTTACTCTCCTTCCTTGTCAGGTGGGCCCAGCCTTCAGAAGAATTATCTAGCCCCCAAGCCTGAAAGGTGTCCCAGGTAAAAAGCAGGAACAAAGGCAGTCAAAGGGGACCAACTGTGTCTGACACAGATCTTGATTGGAAGACAGCCTGAACCCACTTCAAATGTCTGCAGGAGTCACAGGTGGATGTTAAGGAACAAGGAGGCTCAGGGTAAGTTCATATTCACTCTCCGTGTGTCTAAAGCGGGCTCTTCAGTCCACCGAAAAGCCCAGCCCCACACACGTGGGGTAGTTAGGGCCACCGTGCTGGTATTATTTCAAATATTTCGTGGTATTCCTCTTCCCGACAGCCACTATTCCATGCACAAAAAATGTTAAGGGCCAAGGCTGTAGCTCAGTGGCCTAGCATGTGTGAAGCCCTTGGTCTGGCCCCAGGCAACAATAAACAAATAAACAAACAAAAATTAAGGAATGTTAGAAAGGGAAAGATGAACAAATCTGTGAAGATTCTTGTTCTAGGAAAGCCTGCATTTTATGTTGTGGTAAAATTCACCCAGTGATGCTAGATCTTCAGTATGTTCAATCTAGATGGAAAAACTAGAATTGTGTGAAATCATCCTATTTTAAACACTGCATGATTTTTTTAAAAAACCACTATGCAAGCCAAACAAAAGTATGTCTGTGGGCTGAATCTGATCCATAAACCAACTTCTTTAAATCTCTGGTCTACAGAGTTCTTTAGAATTCTTATTCTAAAGAGTCCCAGGGCCAGGGATTTAGCTCAGTGGTTCCACTGCCTGCCTCACAAGGGCCCGAGTTCGATCCCTCATACAAAAAAAATTAAAAATAAAAAAAATAATAAAGAGACCCACTCCCTAGAGGCCCTCTCCAGGGTAAATGACTTTTACAACAGGCCTTCTCAATTATCCTGTGCTCCAGTTCATAAGGCATAAGGACAGTCTCACCACTGTTCATTTTAATTTCTTTTTCTTGTTTTGTTTTGTTTTGTTTTGTTTTTTACTGGTACTAGAGATCAAACCCAGGGTCTCATGCCTGGTGGGCAACTACTCTAACACTAAGTTACACTCAAGCCCTGATGATTATTTTCAAGTAGAATTAACTGTTATACTTTGATAGAGTTATTTACAAAAGATATTTTAAATTACTGAACTCTTTCTGGGTGCAGTGGCCCACATCTGTAATCCTAGCATTTGGGAGGATGAGGGAGGATGACTCTGAACTCAAAGGCAACCTGGGTGACATAGCAAGCGTCTGTCTCCACCAAGAAAAGGAAATTTAAAAATCAGTGTAGTAATGCAGACCTGTAATGCCAGCACTCAGGAGCTGAGGCAGGGAGATCACCATGAGTTTGAGGCCAGCTTGGGCTACATAGTGAGTTCAAGGCCAGCCTGAACTACACAGCAAGACCCTGCCTCGAACAACCAAATTAATAACAACAATAATGATAAATTTAATTTAATAGTAAACTATTGAGACTTTATAATTCACCTACTTTAAGGCCAGACACGGCCATCTCCACATGCACCTCTAGAAGCACTTACTGCACTCAGTCATTTCAGAGACAGACACTACAGTGCACTGCAATCTCACCTCCATGGTGTGGGTCTTTCCTGATGAAGTTTGTCCATATGCAAAAATTGTCCCATTATAACCTTCAAGGACATCTGTAGGCAAAAAGAATTTTTTTTAATTAAAATTAACTCATTATTTTGAACCTATGCTGGAGTTGTTGCCTACTTTAAAATTACAGTTTCCAAATGGCCGCATGTTTTGCACAAATGACATATGTCAACTCTATGTGTATTTTAAGTAGAACTGTGAGGTTAAGAACAGAAAGGAGGGCCTCCACCATTCCACAAAGAGAAAAAAACCAAAGTCACATTCTAAAGAATATATTAGTGAAGAAAGGAGCAAGTACACATTCTTTCAGTAACATCAAAATTAAAGCAGACACATCACCCAGAAAACCTTTCCAGTAGGATACTTGCATCTTCTTCTACATACATCAATCCCTTGAGAAAAGTTGAGGTGGAAAAAATATTACCCAAGCTGTTTCTGGAGTGAGAATGTCTTGCCCAATGATCTGAGCAGGGCCAGCCTAAACCCAGCCCAAGCAGCCCTTTGGGGAGCTCTCATGGGAAACCCAGCACAGCTCTCTCAGAACAGACACAACCAGAACAGAGGAGGGAAGAGGCCCCACACTGTAAACAGAGCCCCAAGGTGACAATCAAATCACCTCAGAAAGCAGCAGAGCCCTCACTTAAATTTAATGCCTCTGTATTTCAGTGTCAGTGCCAGCAAGGTGGCCCAGGCCCATCAGCATCAGGAATTTCTTTTAATTACACAACTAGAACACTGTGCAAAACCATGCGCAGGATAGAAGCAGGAAGGGTAGGGGAAAGGAAATAAGGGAAAAGAAAAAATATGAGAAAATGGAAATAAAGTGCTAGTAAATGGGGAGGGGAGGAGGGGGTGAAGGGAGGGTAGGGACAAGGGGAAAAAATGAGAACCAAGACCTGTCATGTAAAGGTACAAGATCCCAATGATGAATGTAACTGTACTGTATCCCTAAAATGTACCAATAAACTCAATGAGAGAAAAAAACAAAAACCCACCACATTCAGGACATCCCAGTTTCTGTTTCACACAGGGCTAAGGGAAAGCATGCAGAGGGGGCTGCTTTCTGCTGCAGAACTGAAGATTATTTGTGGGAATTCTTTCAAAGCAGCACAGGTGATAAAATATACTCCCCCCTGCCTTCCCTCTTCATTCACACAAGCATCACAGAAATGGAAACAATGCACAATTAATACGCCTGACCTGGCATCCTGCACCAGAGTAAAAAGTCTTCAAGTACTATAACAGTCAGGGCTGGAAGAGGAGCCCCACACAGTGTCCTCTTGAGGGTCATGTGAGAAGAGCAAGCCAGGCAATCAGCCCATCCATCCATTTCAGATTTGGGGTGGCAGAGGGAGAAGGCCTCTGAATATGCTGGGGGTTTTTTTTCTGTTTTGCTTTGTTAGGTTCTCTAAATTGTTTAAATATACATTTTACTGATCTGAGGTTGTTGGAATGTGAACTGGGATCAGAAAAGAAAGAGGATTTTCCTTTTTTGTGTTTTTAATCCTAGCAGCCCTAACAGGGCTTGAGGGAGGGAGGGAGGGATGAAGGGTGGGAGGAAGAAAGAGAGAGAATATGCGTGGAAACATTTTCCCTGGTAACAGCAAAAATAAAAAACTTCAAGAAGTCAATGTCAGGGTTAGAGGTTTATGCTTTTTTTCACGAAAATGCCAACCTGTTTAGAGAAAAGATTCCTCAGGCCTGAAGACGGTGGCCAGAGCAGAGAGAAGAGCCTCTACACCACCGTGCAGATGATGTGTTCTGAGGGGCTCAAAGAGGTCCCATTTTTTGGTTGGGCTTTTAACATTCTATATTTATAACACAAACAACTTTGGAAAACTGAGATGCTGGCCACAAGCACAATACTAAACCTTCTATACCTACTCTTTATTAGAAATTAAACATCTCCCCACAACTATAACGGACTTCTTCTGCATCTGTTTGGTTTTTTTGTTGTTGTTTCCAGGTACTGGGGATTGAACCCATGGTCTTCTCACTGATCTACAACTGGGCTACATCCCCCGCCCTCTCTTTAAGTCACTAAGACTGAGCTAGAATTTGAAACACTCCTGCTTCAGCGTCCCACAGGGCTGGGGTTACAGGTGTGCACTGCCATACCAAGCTGCTTCTACACCTTAGCTCCTGTGTATGAAGGGCCCTGGGACCCAGGACCAGGTGTTAGGATAATGTTAAAGATGCCAAGACAGAGGTCTGGCCACGTGACCCCCACTGTGCACCCTACAAGTGCTCATGCCTCTGCGAGGCCCCCGGGAGGTGTCTGTGAACACCCTGCCACACTCCGGAGGATACACGCAGAGCCCAGGCCTCGCTGACCAGAGGGACCCTAGACCACACTTCTTCCTCTGCCAAGAAGCAAGGTGGCCGGGCATCGGAATGAGACCACCTCTCTCGGACCATTCCCACCAAGTACAGCACGCAATCCTACTAACTGCTGGTTGGCTGCTGCTCTCAAAACCCCTGGGTCCCATCTATAAAACAGAGAGCTCAGTGGTGGCATTGCTTATTTAGGAATAAAGTGCCGATGAATGGAGAATCCATTTCTCACTACAATTTCAACAAAGAGCACAACTGCTTGCTTACTTTCTTTTGAAATTTCTTTCTCAAAAACAGAGACCAATATAAAACTTCATTAGAACAAACCTGGATTGGCCTGTAAAGTATTTACAATTATGTTACAAGTAATACATTGTTGGAGAACAACTCTCACATTCAAGGTTACAGAGCTGTGTTGCCCCCATCTACTCAACTCTGAACTAGAAGAAAACTAAAAACAAAAAAAAGATACAACTCTTTGAACCCAAGGGTCTCTATTTCCTTCCACCTCCAAGTTGTGAACACTTGTCTGTATGGTCTGTTTTATTTTTAGTGGAGAGAAAAGGCAGGTGAAGTCACCCAGGGGCAGACAGGAGGGAGACAGCAGAATCTGCTGGGGAGCAGGGATCCAAGGGCCTGTGTGGAGCCACACGCCACTTCGCCACCTCCCCACAGGAAGGACTTTCATCACACGGAAAGCCAGGATGATCCTAGGCCCAAGGAATGCATTTGTTTCAGTCTCTGGCAAAACAGAACGACCATTTCTACATGCCAGCCACACGGCCATACAGTTTACACTTTCTTTGTAATGGGGTCTGTTGTTATGTAACACACAGCGCACTGCACCCCACAAACCCAGCACACATCCATTCAGCAGCCAGGCATACCCAGGTAGCTTTCTTTGCAGGTGTTGAGCACCCTCTCAGCTCCACTGAGAGTGGGGAGAACAGGATGCCTGAAAATCCTCGTTCCTCCTGCTGCAGACTTCAGAGGCCCGGGGTGCACGCTAGCTAGGTTCTGCCAGGTTCTGAGTCCACATCAGCGTTTCTGAGGAGACTGCTGTGACTTCCTACCACACTGCTTTAGGCAAAACAGTGGCTTGCCAGAGCACAAGGACATCTGACAAGAGGGACTAACAGGCCACCCTCAGCTTGGAACCTAAGCCTCTGGCCAGCCAACCAAACTGCTCCAGTTATCCATGGCAGCAGAACACAGATGCAATATGTCCATCCGGTGAAGAAGGCTGCACACAGCCATCCTGAGAGCAGCCACTGTGCCCCGGCCAAGGCACATTGTGCTCCTGAGCACCCACACCTCAGGACAGGCAGGCCGCAAGGGCTCCAGGGCTCTGGAACCACAGTTGCCATTCTTTCCCCTCTGCTCTGAAACACACCTTTTCCTATCCTTGCCTTTTTTTCAGTGCTTTCATATGGCCTGATGGAAAAGGAACAAACCATAAAACAGTTACTCTATGCTTGTTTTTAAATGCTCATATGGGCCCACCAGGAAAGTAGGGCAGGTTGGTTCTAAAGAATTAAGTTAGCCAGAAAGCCACGCTGCACTCCAGCCCCACACCCGGACCAGATTTGGCCAGGTTACTCCACCTCTCTCAGTCTCCCAGTCTTCTTTAGTTTAATGGTATTAATAATGCTCACCCCTGTAAAGTTAAGATTTAAGATGCAATTAGATGTAAAGTAGATACGGTGCACATGATAAATAATAGCTTAAAAGTATATTTCTTCTTAAGAGTCATATAATAATAATGAAATAGATCTGAGGATGTCATCCTAAGCTTAAAACTTTCAACTGTCCACGCCTATAGGACAAAGTCCATGGATTCCCACCGAACTCAGATCCAGCCTACGTTCTGCAGCTTCAACCATCATCATGCTGCTCTGCAACCTGTGCCACCCTGAGCCACCCAAGCATGCCACATAATCTGTCTCTTTATGCTTTTGCTATTCTATTCTCTGCTTGTACAGCCCTGCAACATTCTACACTACTCAGGACTCTCCACCACCACAATTTGGTACAAGGTGGCATTCTCCTGCGCCCCCTTGGTATTTTGCAAATACCCACCTTAAACCACATAATGCCTATGTGTATAATAATTATGTATGCGTCTTCCCTTTCCCTATACTCAAAAGTTCCTTGCAAACAGTCTTACATCTCTTGGTGACTCTGGTTCCTGTCAGCGCTACACATGGTTCGTGCTTAATATTAGTTGCATAAATAAGGAATAAAGTTCAAAGAAATCAGAGCACCAGAAACCATCTTCTCTAACATCTGGACAGTCGACCTCTAGTTAATCTGGAAGGCAAATGCTGAAGTGGCTTCCGTTAAGATGTGCTGTGTTTACCAGGACTTCAACAATAGCATCCAGAAAGCATGGTGTTTAGTTCCTGGGCCTTGCTACTTATTGTGCTGGTTACCCACTAGTCCTACAGTGTCTTCTTGAAGAACTGGAGAATTCTATGTGTTTCCAAGCAACAGTTTGAAAACATACCAAGAAGGGAGCTGGGAGATGTCAGGACTCGAAATCTGAAATATTAAAAATCCTAGTGAAATTGTAAAAAACAAAAACCCAGTCAATTAAAAGCAGTCTTCCATGTCCTCAAAATGATTAGGGGTTTAGACAGACTGGGAAGGGAAGTTCACCAGTCCCTCACATTACCATGAGTCAGGGGACTGTAGTAACCTTCAGAATTAATTAATTTTACTGTGTGGATGCAGAAATACATCCACACTCTCCTCTCCTCACTCTAGCTTCAGTGAACATTTTAAAAAATTCAATCCAGACCTCATCACACCCCAATCATTTCTTTTTCAATGGATAATAAAGTATCCTTTGTTACTATCAAATGAGTATGCTCATGTTATATTCATGGTGCCCTAGAAATGCCTGTTTATCAAATCATGTCAGAGTCTGATTTTATTCTAAGTGGTTTTCTCTGTGGCTTACTATATATGTGAGGTCTCAAGGCAACCAGAGTTAGGTCATATCCTCAGAAGATCTTCCTGGGGAATGCCTACTTCTTTTCTTAGAAATGTTTATTTTAAAACTGATACATAAAAATATTAAAACTTTATATATTAATGGGATGGAACTGACATTTAATACTATAGAAAGATTCAAACATTAAGAGGGGCTGAAATATTTAGTGAATAAAGACTCAAATATATTACTATTGTTTGTTAATCACAGGATTTTTTTTAATGGAATGCATTTGCTCCTAATTAAGTCAGTCTAGAGTGGGTGGGATATATTTAAACGGCCTTCATGTTTAGCACTGCATGTGGTAAATACTATTTGCTTCTGATAATGGAGAAGAGGAAAAAAGAAGGAAATGTGGCACATATGTGATTAATCTTACTCTAGTAAAATATGAATGAACCCAGTATTATGGGGGAAGGAGGGCTGACTAAGACCAAACCAAGAAGAAAGGCTATAAAAATAGAGAGGAAATATGATTAAATAAAAAGAGAAGCAAACGAGTAGAAGAGAAAACAGAAGTTACCACCAGATATAGGCCCAAATTATTAATTCAAAAGGAGCTCAAATTCAAGCTAATTTTTCCTCTTCGGTTTTCTATCATGATCTCACTGTGAAGACCTTCAAAATTAATTGATGTCTGTAACAAGAATGTGAATAACCATACATCTCAGCAAGGAACATTACATACTGAAGCAAGTCTCCCACGCAGGTGGCCAGGGTCAGAATTAATCTAACAGATGTACCCAAGGCTGATTTTCATGAATTTCAAATAGGTTTGTCAGCTTGGCCTCTAAAAAGAAGCAAATCTAAAACAGCAAGGTACTTTCTGTTTTTGTTTTTACCTTCTGCTTTTTGAAGCCAAAACTACCTACAGAGGAGGCAGCAATGAGGCACTTCAAAGCCCAATCGCCACAGCATTCAAATTCAATGGCAAGGCTGTGATGAGGAAAAGCCAAACAGCATGAGATGCCCCCCAGCTCTGTCCAGATGGCAGGCTCTGCCAAGGCAAGCTCCTCCGACCTGCCCCTGCTTTGGAAGGGCAAGGTGGAGCAATGTGTAAATTGCTTTATCTCCCTGCTGATGTTTTGACACAAATCCTCCGGGGCCAAGGCCAGACCCACAAAAAAGAATGATCTCTGAGATACAAATGCAGGCTTGAAGCTACCTGTTCGGAGGAAGAAATGTCAGGAGCTGGAAGAGGGCTGGATGGAATGATAATTAAGGAATGCTGATGAGACAAACAGCTCAATAACAAGCAGGCTGATAGGATTTTACGACACTAGAAAATTCCTTGATGGCAAGAATTTTCCACATTTAAAACTTCTTTCAGGGAGGCATACATGAAAAGGATACAGATGCACCAAATACATCAGCCAAAGGTATACAGCGGGAGCAACAAGGATATTTTCTCCTTCAAAGGAAAAAGGAGATTCAATACCTGCAGTATTTTGAAACCATTACAGAAACAGTGTGACCATAGCTTACCCTGCTTTTAAGCTTTTAAGGGACAGAAAAACTCTACCAAAAAGGCAGCAAAATAAATAAAGAAAAGATGTAGTGAGAGACTAAACAACTTGGCTGACATCTCAGCAAATCAGGGCCAGAGCAAAGGCTATAATTCAGTGTTTCTAATTAGCAGGCCCCTGCTTAAAGTCAAGGCACAATGATTCCTAGGCAGCAAATATCACTTAATGTTTTTCCATTACTCTGAAAGGCCCAGGAGGAAATAAAGAAATAGCACTTACCTTTGACAATTTGCTTCGCACATGCATTGTAAACCTGTTCTTGGGTTGTATTGGGCGGCAGCACTCTGTCAAAGACATACGGCTTCCCTTGCTGAAAAAGACAGACAAAAGAAAGAAAGGGGTGGAGAGAACACATCAGAAGTTGAGGAATAGAAAGCATGAATATTAGCAGTTAGACCACAGGCACTAAATCACGGCCCTATTCTTTAAAGGCAGTTCCTTATCTTACTGGGGAATTTTTGCAGTACAAACATATGCATTGTGTGTAGGTATATTGTAGACTGAGAATCTCAGAGGAAAAAAATGCTTTCTTAAATTTAAAACACTTTGATGAAAGATAGACTGACATTTCATTCATTTATTTGAATGTGTATCAGTTGAATTTACACAGGACTGGATGATGAATAAACAAGAAAATGTCCTTTCCTTGAGAACTGTTTGAGTGGAGCAGAGAGCTAATAAGCAAGAAAGCAAACACAGGAAAATGCAGAAGGCCCAGGTATAAACTGAAGGGACAAAAGAATGACAGATCAGGCAAGGAAGCTTTGCTGAAGAAGTCTCAGCTAAGTGGATCTTGAAAGAATCGGAAAGATAGAAAGTTGGGAAAAGCTGTGGAAGAACATTCCAGGCAGAAGTATAAGCAGAGAGCAAAAGGCCTGGTGTGTTCAAAATATGGAAGGGTGCTACAAATTGAAATCAACAAGGAAATCAGAAAACAGTTTGTGTAGGGCACTGCCAGCCAAGGTCATATGCTTGGATTTTATTTAATGGGAAGACAAGACCAGATTTTGAAAGCTGCTCTTAGTAAGCACTAGCACTGCTTTTGTCCCAAACAATTCAAGTGTTTAAGGCTTCTGAGACAAAAGGGGCCCTTCTATGCAGTAAAACAAGAGATCCCTACACACACACACACACACACACACACACACACACAAATGGGGTCCTGCAATTTGGTTTGATGCTGCACCACAGGCAGTTCAAGAAAACAACCAGCAAAACAGAAAGAAAAAAGCTCTACCACAGCACTATGTGAAACCTAGTATTCAATCAATAGTCAACAAAGCGTTCTTAAGTGTTTTCATGCCAGGCAGTGCTGAGCGCTGGGGAAGGTGGTGGGTAAGACACAGGTCTAAATGGCACCTCTTTTCTACCAAGAGTTCCTAGGCATGCGGTGACCCACCCTGCCCACTCCCACAGCCCCACCCACCAGGAGGTCGTTCATCTTCCTTCTCTTAAATGGCAGAAGAGAGAAGGGAAGACAAAGGAGGAGAGGAGAAAGCCAAAAGCTTCCTTCTCTCCAGCTCACACATCCGATGAGTGGCCCCAGACACCAGGAACCAGGAATCACCCAAAGACAGTCTGACTTCTTGAAGAGATATCTACTCATGAGGGGTCTAAGCACATGGCTTGTTACATCCTATAACCATCGCACGCAAAAAGCACAGCACTGCCAGACTGGCTTTCTCATTTATCACTGAGTAGAGCTGAATGGAGGTAAAGTAGCATGTTTTAGGCCTAAAGCTTGAACATTAGTCTTTGAAAATGGGATTAAGCAAACCAGGTAAATGACCTACTTTTGGTTTCGTCTTAGAAAAATGCAGAATTTTCAAATACCATAAAACTCTGTTTTGATGCATAGCAGCAGAACTAGGGTCATTCTGCTAAAATTATGTAAAGGGTACATTTCTGATGTTTTACTACCAGTTTTGTTCCCTTCTGCAGTGAACCAGGTTTAGTAGCCAAATAAATATTTCTCAACACAATCCATTGCCAACTCCTAGCTCACTACATTCTTATTAACTTCATCTAGTCATAAAATTCAACTAAGTGTCGGTAGGGCAAAGGGTAAAAATAAGCATTTACAGTTGTTTGCCTAAGTAAGTATTTACCATCCATCAAAACTTATGGAAAGGAAAGGCAGCTTTACTTAATTAAAACCCACCATTTCTCTTTTTGGTTTGCTCCATAACCTCTTCCCAAGCAATCAAGTGGTCCATTGCAACTAAAGCACTTAACCAGCTAAAAGAGAAACCATACACTGCCCAAGACCCAACCGCATGTAGGCAAGTCTGCTGCAACTTACGAAGGGAATCTGACGAGACACTCACTACTACTGAAAACGAAATGTGCCAGCATTGCCACGAAGCCTCCACATACAGCAGTGCTAATTGCATAAGAGCAGTGTAACTAAAATTAATAACCTACCAGGATCACATACAAAAAATAACAGCAGATGGTTCTACACTTTCATAGTTAAAATTAAAAACAAAAATCATACCACCAGAATTCTTATCAAGTTGTTGAGAGCAAAATGTCTGTGAACCATATGGCCTCCCTATTAATACATGTGACCTGTTACCCAATAACTGCTCTCCAGAGTGAAAGAACATCTACCGTGGGAGACAAGAAAGCCACAGTCTCACATGGATGTTTAGAAGGTAGGTATCAGGGAGGATGTTATACAATGTAAAATTAATTATCCTAGAAAGAGTTCAAGAAGCAATCCAGAAACAATCTCTGAGACTGATCAAGAGTTGTGACCAAAAGTTGACAACAATTTGAATGATCTTTCTTACATCTTTACCCAGAAAGAAATAGGAAAAACTTGAAAAAGACTAAAATTTCTACAGAGACTTAAAGTCACTCTGTGGGATTATTTCAGACTCTGAGGGGTATTCGGAAGAGGAACGGATTACTGAGAACAATCATTAGTTCTCTGTCAACAAAGAGGAACTGATGACCAAGAACAATCTTTGACTCTCTGTTACAGGTTTTGATAAGACTTCATCCCGAAAGCACAGGAGATGATGAGTTCTTTGAGCCTGGGGCCACCAATATCATCCAACCCTCTATTCCAAACCCTTCTACTGTAAACAAAGAGTCAGTCACATTGTTAGCTCTATTACTTTAAGGAAATAACTCTAAGGGTCTGATTTAAAGTGTTCTTCTTCTGCACCATGTTGATGAGAATTTTTTGGAAAAACTAGAGAAACACAAAACAGCACGTGTTAAGACTAATAGAACAGACTGAAGCAAATGAAGTAACACAAGACAGAGACTCCCACCCAGCATGGTGGCACATTCCTGTTATCCCAGCACTCAAGAGGCTGAGGAAGGAGGATTGCCGAGAGTTAGAGGTCAGCCTGAACTATACAGCGAGACTCTGTCTCAGAAAAAAAACAAAAAAAACTGAGGTTCCTACTGTAGCCTAGAGCTGTCAAGCACAGTCACAGAGTTGGGGCTCACACAAGCCACAGCAGGAAAGGGCAGCATTGACAAAAACAATGGTGGGCACACACAAGGCAAGCATTCAACAGAAGCAATGAATGATCAGAGGCTGATCGGAGGCTATGAAAAGACAGGCATAAGGCTTGCTGGGGATAGCTGAAGCTATTAAGAAAATTTCTAGAATTTTTCAGAGCTAAAAAGGCCTCCAAGGACATCCAAACTTTTGTTTGTTTTACAAAGTGAGACCAGGAGAACACAGATGACCTGCAGTCAGCAGGCGCATGTCAGACACCCCTGCCTGGTACCCTGGCCTCCAGGCTCTGATCTACTGCACCCGAAGTTCAGCTTTAGAGGCTGGGGATTTAAAGTGGCGCCGCACCTGCCTCACAAGCGCAAGGTCCTGAGTTCGATCCCCAGTACCAGGAAAAAAAAAAGTTATTCATTAAATTCACTTGGTCTCTCTAAACATCCAGGAAACAATAAGCGTGAACCTCTGGTTCTTTTTTTGGTTCTTTTTTTATTTTCTGATTACTTCCCAATTCTAAATTATTTGCAAACACAATTACTTAGTCCAGTGAACAAAGAGTCAGCTCTGAGAGCCAAAGTAGTGTCCCAGCCACATCCGGCCCCTTCCTGGGGAACATGGAGTCAGCCATTCAGACTCCTCACAGTGCACGATGCCCATCTCCATAAGCCCTGAAAAGGGACCACGAACTTGCTCACAACTTGACTGGAAATAATTATCAGAAAGGTGGTCCTGGGCCAGGGATTTAGCTCTGGTTCCACTGCCTGCAGCGCAAGCCCAAGGACCCAAGTTTGATCCCCAGTACCAAAAAAAAAAAAAGAAAGAAAAAAGAAAAGTGGTCCTTATATTGACTTTAAATCTGCCTCCCCAAGGCATTAGGCCTGATACTGTCCCCCGAAACAGCAGGACAAGGGAGGAGACCTGCCTGGGTCACAGCTCTGCTTTAGTTTGGGAGCTAAGTGTTCACATTCCAAAGCTCTTTCCTCTTAACTGAAACTGAAAAACATATATGTACTTACTTCCTAAAGTGACATGGATTTATCTTAACTCCAAAGGTGTCCAGTGTCAGGACATCAGTAAAGCATTATATTAGTTTGCAAAAGAAGAAATTAAATAAGATGAATTCATCAACTGTGAAGGGCTTTTGTAACAACCTGAAAGATAGTTTCCAAAACATTAGCTAAAAAACAGACGTCCTTGGGCAAGTGTTGATACTTATTTTTTTATCAACATAAATATTCTGCCAGAAGTTCTGGGTTTGGTTTTTTTTCTTTTTTTTTCTTTTTTTTTGGTATTGAAATATAATTGACATACCATAAAATTTATCCCTTTAAGAAAAGTGTGCAAGTCAGTGTTTGCAGAATGCTCCCAAGTTTCTAAACCATTCTCACTGTTTAATTCCAGAACATTTCCAACACCCCAAAAAGAAACCCTAAATCCTTTAGCATCACTACACACTGACTGTTTCCAGTCTAGGCAGTCACTAATATTTTAATATATTAATTTCCTGTCTTTACAGATCAGCTTGTTCTAGACATTTCATAAAAATGGAATCATCATGTGTAGTTTTTGCAATTGGCTTCTTTTTCTTAGCATGTTTCCACAGTTCATCGATGTAGTAGCATGGCTGAGCACTTCAGTTTTGTGATTAAATAATATTCTATTGAATTAATATATCAAATTTTGTGTATCAATTCAGCTGACAGGATATTTTCTACTTTGAAGTTATTATAAATGCTGCTAGAGTAAGGGGTAGGGAGGGATAGGGGAAAGGTAAGAAGGGAAAGGTAAAAAATAAGAAATAAATGGAAACAAAGCTTTTGCAAATAGGGAGGCGT